TTTTCTCTTATCACCTGTTGTCGCAGAGAATTGCTTTTCATCAGATTTGATCGTTTCCCTCCCGTCAACTTAAAAAGATTTGCAGGCCAAAACGAAAAGTTATATAAAATGAAGGATAACATTGGTGTGATAAGTAAAAAAATCGTAATCGAGTCTGAAAGGCACAGACTGAATTCATTTTATAGTCAGAAGTTTATATCCTGTGAAACTGTTTCGAATATCTCGACGCTTTTCAAAGAAATTACTGTTTGTGAGCAGATGAATAGTACTCTTGATTCCTTTGATGTATTTATTATTATTATATATTTTAATTCCTAGAGGAACATATTGGGCTTCAGCTGCGCGTCTCCATTGCCTTCTGTTTTCTGCCAACGTTTTCACTCCGCTTCAAGTCTGCCCACATGCTTTCATCTCCTCCTCACATGACCTCCTCCAAGTCACCCTTGGACGACCAACTCGCCGCTTCCCTTTCGGGTTCCACTCGAGCAGTAACTTGTATAATGATGTCACTTGATGGTTTTCTCAGCGTCTGGCCAATCCATCTCCATTTCTTCCTAAATCGGTTCCTGGTTGGTTCGCTCATTGCCAAAGATCACTGTTGCTGATCTTTTCTGACCGGCCATCTGATCTTGAGTATTGAGCGAAGACAACTGTTAATGAAGGTCTGAAGTTTGTTTGGTGTGCTCTTTATGACGCGCTGTCCAAGTCTCTGATCCGTATAGTAGTAGCACTGACTGACTTCACATTGGAGTTGAAAATCCCGATCTTATTTTTGATGCTGAGTGCTGTTGACCTCCACACAGATTTGAGAGTAATGAAAGCTTGTCTTGCTTTTCCGATTCTGGCTTTGATATCCTCGTCAGTTCCGCCTGTAGTTGAAACGATGCTTCCCAGGTAGGTGAAGGAGGTTGTTTCTTTCAGGTTCTTCCCATTTATGCGCTGATTGTTGTCTGTTGTTGTTGTTGCTGTTGATGTTGGCCAAGAATCTTCATCACCTCTGTTTTATCTATGTTCACGTGAAGTCCTATCTTTGATGCTTCTTCTGCCAACTTGTCGCTTTTCGCTTGCATATCTTCCAGTTTGTGGGAAATCAGACACATATCATCGGCGAAGTCCAGATCCTCCAAGTCTTTTGTGTGAGTCCATTTTATGCCTGTTCCCTCGTTGGTTGCCGTTGTCTGTCGCATTATCCAATCAATTGCAATCAGGAAAATCATTGGCGATAGTAGATAGCCTTGCCTCACTCCCGTCCTCACTTCGAAGGCTTCCGTAAGTTTCCCGTTGTGGATTACTTGGCATGCAGCATTGTCGTATAACTGTTGGATGAGATGTATAATTGTCGATGGGACCCCGTAGTAGCGAAGTAGTTGCCAAATCACCTCTCGATCGACGCTGTCGAAGGCCTTTTCAAAGTCGATGAAGTTGAGATAGAGAGGTGACTGCCATTCCAAGCTTTGTTCAATGATGATCCGTAGAGTGGCGATTTGATCAATACATGACTTGTTTCTCCTGAATCCAGCTTGTTCCGGTCGAAGTTTTTCATCCAGGGCTTGTTTGATTCTCTCCAGGATGATGCGGCTTAGTATTTTGCTTGGAATGGACAGGAGCATAATTCCACGCCAGTTTTTACATTGACTTAAGTCTTCTTTCTTTGGTAGTTTGAATAAGTATCCGTTCTTCCAATCCTCGGGTACTTTGCCCTCTTTCCACACCTTCTCCAGCAGTGGCGTCATCAAGTCCGCTGTTGTCTCTGGGTCTATTTTCAAAGCTTCTGCTGGGATTCCATCTGGTCCCACTGCTTTCCCAGCTTTTAGCATCTTGATTGCATTCAGGACTTCTGATTTCGTCGGGGGGTCAATGTTCACTGGTAGTTCTGCTTCCGTTGTTGGTATTGTTGGGCGCGTTGTAGGTGGCGGACGATTTAGAAGTCTTTTGAAGTGTTCATCCCAGTGTTTTCTTTGTTCCACCTCTTTGGTGATTGACTTTCCATTGTCGTCCTTTATTGGCTTAATCTGTGTCGAACTTTTGCCCGATAGGTGCCTAGTTGTTTGGTAGAGTGTGGCGAGGTCTCCTTTGCCTGCAGCTTGTTCTGCTTCGTTTGCCATGGTTTCATAATATTTTCTTTTGTCTTCTCTCTTCTTCACTCTTTTGTTCAGTGTATTGTAGCTTGCATTCAACTCCTGTTTTTGTTGCTCGTCGGTGCACTGGATAATCTTTTGTTTCACTGTCCTTCTCTCTTCTATTAGTTTCCAAGTGTCCGTAGTGAGCCACTGTTTGTCCTGTCTCTTCTTTCTGCCTAGAACTTCCATGCAGGTTTGGCTCCACACCGTTTTCAAGTTGTTCCAGTGCTTTTCGACGCCGACCTCTTCGCTGGTGTTGATTTGTATCTCAGCTTTGTCCTTTATGCTTGCAATGAAGATGTCCTTTGTAGCCTGGTCCTTCAGCTTTTGAGTGTTGAACTTGGCTTGTGGTCTATCTGCAGCTCCTCCTTCTCTGAAAGCTTTTAATTTGATTTGGATTGTCCCTTGTACGAGATAGTGGTCTGAGCCAACGTCTGCTCCTCTTCTTGCTTTTGTGTCCAGTAGGCTGCGCCTCCACTTCCTTGAGATTGAGATGAAGTCGATTTGGTTTTTGGTTTGCCCATCTGGTGACACCCATGTAGCCTTGTGGATATCTTTGTGCTTGTATACACTGCCACCAATCACTAGTTCGTTGAAGGCGCAGAAGTCGGCGAAGAGTTCTCCATTTTCATTCATTTCTCCGAGAGCTTCTCTACCCATGATGAGTTCCCTTCCTGTGTTGTCTGGTCCCAGTTTGGCGTTCATGTCTCCCATTAGTATTTTCATGTCGCCAGCTGGAGTATTGTCCATTGTTGCCTGTAGTTGTCTGTAGAATTCTTTTTTTCTTTTCGAGGTCTGCGTTGTTTGTGGGTGCATAACATTGTATGATTGACACTTTCCTTCCTTTGGAGTTGAATCTGGCGGTCATTATCCTGGACGAGATCGCCTCCCATTGCATCAGGGCTTTCGTTGCCGTTGGTGACATCATGATAGCCACGCCCTCGGTGTGCGTGTGGTTATCTTCTGGGTGACCGGAGTAGATCACTGACTCACCCGTTGACAATTTGGTGAGTCCACTCCCATTCCATCTGCTTTCACATATTCCCAGCACTTGGATTCCGTATCTTTTCATCTCGTTTGCGATCTGGGCAGCTTTGCCAGTCTCGTACATAGTTCGGACGTTCCATGTCCCCACACAGACTTTTTCTTTTGGTGCAAAGAGGTTCATCATGCTGAAGTTTCTGTAGCAACTTTGTTTACAGGGTGGGGTTGCTAGCCTCGCTCCTGAGAAAGGAATTGTTACATTCAGATAAAGTTTAGAGAGGAGCGACCTTTTAAGTTGCTCCCCTTAAAATCTGATAACAAGAGATAAAACAATCAGAACAACACCAGCAAAAGGAAAACAATTCACAGCAAAAAGGGCATAAAGCGACAACAACGATACAATAAAACGACATGCAAATAGTTCAGCACAGTTAACTAAAGTGATACCAAAACCTTGGACTCACTGACTTGGGCCAACTTAAACATATAAATCCAATAATATATACAGTTATACATATGAGTTATTGTTAAAAGACACAAGTGTCCAAAAACTTTGTTATAGGTATTAGAAGTCAATGATAGTATATCCAGAGTTTAAGCTTTCGAAAGTTAACGGAATGCAATAATTTCCAGAACTTCGTGGTGAGCAATAACAAAAAAATGAGAGTTTTATATATTACAGCAAAAAGTAACACACTTATTGAAAAGCGCGCCTCAGTTCCTTAAGTAGTGTCTTCCTTTGATGTGTGTACACTAAACAAGTCATTCAAACATTCTCCCACAAATGCTACACCTTCTAGTGTTACAAGTGCTAATGAAACCTGCTTCCCTGGTTTCAATACAAATGACGTTCGTAAATGTCTCCAGTCGCTGCACCTTTCTTGTTGCTCACGTCCAGATCTTCCTTCCAAAAGTATATGTAAGTGTGAGTCTCTTAATCGACCATATTTCTCTGACAACGTAGATCGATCGAGGCACTCGTTTATGCTTATGGTATGCTAGGTTAAAAATTAGATGACCGCTCTTAGATTGAAACTTAGTCATTGAGAAGATATTTATTGTATTCAGAAAGGGTAACTCATTTTCTGACCACTGTATTACGCCTCTTTTTCTTCTTCTCCTTCGCCTCCTCAGAAATGTTGAAGTGTAGAGTCAGTTTGAACATTTGGTGGTGTTGATGTTTACAGGTATATTTTATTTGTTATTCTCAGTGTCTATTCCGGTTAGTGTTCTTATTACAGAACACGAATATCATTGTGATTGTCTGTACAAGTAATAACACGCTTCACATGAAAAACAGAAACAATGATGAGCATTTCGTCACCAAGTACAGCAAGAAAACACACAAAACAGAATTCAAATGAAGATGCCGACAGAGTGACATCGTCCTATTCAACTGTTGTCAATTGTCGCGAACACTGAACGTTTGTTTATTGACCTTGGTAGTCATTAGTGGGCAACTCGAAGGCGCGAATGGTTCAGTCCTGTACAAGTAGGAAGAAGACGAAACAATACGAATAAAGTTACACTGTATTTTCTTGTAAGCATTTTTTTATAGACTTGCAACTATCTATACTCTAATTGCCAAACAATATAACTTTCTAACAAGTACTGGTGTTTTGGAGTTAAAGTCGAAGAAAGTACACAGTATTCATGGGTTCAGGGCGTCTTCGTAAATAAAAGGAACTTAGGGTTAAGTTCCTTGACAACTGTCTACTAATAAAGATAAGCTGAAGGAAGTATTTTACAAATTATCCACTAATTTTTGTTTCATTGAAGAAGGATGCCAATCTTGTTTCTGAAATGGCGAACACGTTGATCGTACAGAACCAGATGATGAACGCTGTGGTAAATTCGACGGCAATCAAATCCATCCACCAAGCGATCAAGTCCTGATTATCGACACAAGTGAACAATAACTACAATGTAGAGAAAGAGAAAGATTATCGACAGAGATGAGTGAATACAGGCGATCATCTCAAGCGTACAGCAATTCATATTTCACCGTATTAAATTAATTCTAATAATCTAGCCAATGTGATAAGATTTTTTCATATGATGAAATATGGACACATGAATCAATAAAGAATTCTCCACACATTCACTGTCGTCTTTCAGATCATACATGAGCAGATGTCTGATTGTTGTCGATATTGTAGTAAGAATCCGTTTCACACCTCAAACAGGTTCAACTTTTAGAATGATGGGTCGAATGTGTCATTATTCGTTTTATGGTCTGGTTGTATCACATGCAGAGTGATGTTGTTGGAAATCCTTAAATGTAAATTCGTTTAGCTGGTGAGGGAATATGAAAGCATCCACCAAGTGCATCCAATTCAAATAATACAAGCTGCTTAATAATCCAGCCATTTCATACACACACACACACACACAACCTGAGTTCATTTACGACAACCACTAGGAGTGAGTTGTCGTATTATTAAGGACTCACATAAATTCTAATCGTGATAACCAACGATGTAAAACATCATCTACTCTGGAAATAAACTCTCGAATATCGCCGATGTATTCACGTGACTATTGATGTAATATGAACGCAAATTGACTCAGCGATACTGTGATTCACACTGCAGTTCTGAGACTATCAAATACCTGATGTGCTTCGTGTAAATTACTCGCCAAAATAAACGTGATTAATACACCGATAAAATGATAAACTTACAAAGACTATGAATAATATACAGAAAGCTGCTGCCAGATTGATAAATATCTGCGTGAAAAATACGAGGAGAAAGGAGTGAATCATGAGGGAAGAGGTACACTCACATGCTTTGTTAATCTATGCAAATTACCACACATTGGCATATCTACTGATCTGAGATCTGTGAACATTGACTACAATCGAAACATGATGACAGTTGAATCACACCTGTCAGTGATACTGGCTGCATGGTGTGAGGCTGGAATATGTGAATATATGTCATTCACTCAATCTAAACAACCACTGCATCACTTCACATTTCTTATCTGACAGGAGAAATGTCATTATTCACTCAGCCACTTCGACTACAGTCGCATCTCTGTTAGTCCAGTATATATTCCGCGGAATGTGACAGTCACACCAGTGAAGTGTTGCCAAACATTCCCGAGAGTTGAGAGTGTTGACTATTAATAGCATGATCAGTCTGATGTTCTTGAAAAGAAACTGACTGTTAGCTGTTTCGAATGTTACCAATACTTGACATGCATGAAAATGAGGATGCAATAGGTTACCTCAGTGCAGCTTTCATTAACCAGCAGGTCAGAAGTAATCAGACTGAGTTTCAAATGAGAAAGTGGATTCTTCTGAAGAGAAAAGGGGAGAGGAGAGGAGAATACATGACACAATCGATATTCTACTACTTGGTTTTCTAAGTTTAATGGGCTGGATAGTCGAAAGTCTCTTACATAGTTTTGATTTGAATTTTTGGATAGAGAATTCCTGAGGAATTCGGAGCAATGAAGGTTTTCCCTGTCAGGCTTAAAGCGCAAACCAATTCCTCATGAAACCTCTTCCTCGTTTCATTCACGAAATAACGTCATCTCGTCCTGATATATTTGCTCTTCTTCACGGGAGGAATCAAATGAGATTCCAAGTTGTGGAATGAATACTGGAATTCGGATGCAGGGGGATATTTCTGAATAAAGCCGAAATTTCATAAGTTTCGACAAATAACATATGCAAATAATTCATGCAATGAAAATATTAATTTATAATTTACATCTTGCTTGGAGTAGACATGAAGAACGTTCAAGGCGATTCCCACAATCGCTAAAACTTATATTATTGAGGTAAACACTATCAGCCCCATTTTACTCATTCGTCGCATGAGCATAGCCATTACAACTGTTGGGATTTCCACCAAAAGTGTAATGACCAGAGATATGAGTCCAGATTTCAGTCCGATGGGTGAAAAAAGAACAGCGAATGCCACAGACCACAGTGCAATCTATGACAGAGGAGAAAGCGAAATGAGAACATGTGATCACACTGGATAGATGCATATTCATATATAAACACACATATTTACAATGACTACTGAGAATACAGTATATTCTCGATTCTTTATGGACAAACAGACAAACCACATTCTCATCATTCACAATCACTCAAAAATAAACAGTTCGCTGGAGGTCGCTGTCATCCTGTGAACTATGGGTCATCCTAGACATGTCAACATCAGTTACTTCTGCAAACTGCAGTTATCTTCGTGGGTCGACTAATCACTGCCTGACAACTAGAATGACTCGGCCTACAACAGTCGAGAATATTACGACCTCATCATCCATCGTTAAGGATGATGACGATGAATTCGAATGAAGTTCTTTCTTTTCAAATAGAATAATAACCTGAATTTCGACACTGGTATTCCCTGTCCTCCTCTTGGATGGAGCACATCAAGAGAGAGTCACTAAAGATCTCTAAAGCGCGTCCGTAAACACGTAAATATCACTTCAGTTCAGAAACTGCTTCGTTTGATTTCTCACGAATCTGTTTTAGATGAATATTGATTCGACTGTTTGAATGAAGTAGACTGTGGATTGTCTTATCCCAGGTCATGTGGAATCTACTTCTCGAGACCTCCAGTTTATTCATTCCTTCGAACTGCTTCCAAACAATCAGGAAGTTTATTTTAGATATTTCTTTATTGATTTGTCGGAATGAAGGAGATCGTCAAAATTCTTACCGTCTGTCATGTAGAATCGACTTCTCGAGACCCCCAGTTTATTGATTCCTTCAAGCTGTTCCTCAGGGTACACTTCCTCTTCATGCAACAGGTGGATTTACCTTTCTACATTTACGACTTAATAAGAAACAACTTTCCTCAGACTTCAGGTCATTCGTCATGAAAGCGATGTGTGATGTGAATCACAGGGATGTTTACTATGATGAGGTATTCGTGGGTGAAGATGCTTTCAAATTCCACCATAAATGACATCCATTCAGTAGAAATCAAGTTCGCTTAAATCCTCACAATTTCTTGTATGGCTAAATATGTGACACTTACTACAATTGAAAGCATGATATAGACACCAACACGTCGCGATCGTATTTTCGGCACGAATGCGAAGATAAGGAGCACAAGAAGACCGACTACTCTGAAATAAATTCAAAAACATCAACAAGTCGTTTCATATGTAACACAGTTAATCAGAATTGTGCGTTATTAGGTTAGTGCATACTATTTCATAATAATCGAATATTCAGAACTCTTATTCTCAATAGAAAAGGTTTTCATTGTGACGATCTAGGTGTATCGAGTTCATTCATCGGTTGTGATGTCAACTCTGTAAATGTCGCCAGCTACATTCACCCAATGCTCCATGAAATCACTCGTTCTGTTTCACTGTAGGCGGAAATCTCCGATTTGATGATAGAGGAAATCAAAACAAGTGGTGATTCATCGAAGAGACTCTTTTTTCAACGAATTTATCATCAAGCTGTACAATCAAAAATATATATAGTTTTTAAGAAGTTCTATCCGGTCAGGGAATCGAATCATAGGCGTGAATGCATAAAATAATAATAATGGTATGAAATGCAATTAAAAACTAAAATGTTTGGGACTATAATCATAGGTAGATGTCAAGTGGCGAAACAATTAATGTCATATATATAGAATAGTTCATAGGACGGGTAGAACTTGTAAAGTGTGTTGAATTTTAGGATTAATAGACAAATCGAATAAAATAAAAACGTTAGGTAAAATTGTGCGAAATTTGATATCATAAATTTAACGTTGTAGAAAACGTAATTTACAGAAATCACCACGTACCGGACCCATCTGTATTTATGAATCTCTGGCTATCGAAACAGAAAAGCCAGAGCTCTGTGTACAGAAAAGGTTCGTTCAACCCCTCCAACTTTCATGTTCTTAATCCCTGTATGCTAAAGTATGGTAATCCCTAATCATATTTTAGCTCTACCAATTTTTCACTTTTCATTTTGTCTATTTAATTTGTATACTCTTCCTTATTACGTCAATTGTTACTATTTCTATTCTCACTTTGAACTGTCCCCGGTACTATTTCACTTATTCCACTTGTCATTCTAAATCAATTCTTATATTACAACGTAAAATTCTATCATATCAAATTTCACACAATTTTACCTAACGTTTTTATTTTATTCGATTTGTCTATTAATCCTAAAATTCAACACACTTTACAAGTTCTACCCGTCCTATGAACTATTCTATATATATGACATTAATTGTTTCGCCACTTGACATCTACCTATGATTATAGTCACAAACATTTTAGTTTTTAATTGCATTTCATACCATTATTATTATTTTATGCATTCACGCCTATGATTCGATTCCCTGACCGGATAGAACTTCTTAAAAACCATATATATATATATATATATATATATACAATTGGTGGATGGTGGCTAGCAGTGGAATCCAGGATAACGTGCATTTCGTTCTATTTGGGACTCGTCAGCTGGATGTACCTGCATTTCTCAGTGAGGAATGATGTTCTCACTGAGGCTCAAACCGAGTGCTCAAAGCCGACATGTCAACCTGAGACCGAGCACTTCGGTCCAATCAATCGACGGGAAAATCAAAATTTCAATTCACATATATATATATATATATACGATTGAACAGCTTGATGATAAATTCGTTGAAACAGTCTCTTCGTTGAATCATTTGTTTTGATTTCCTATATATTACATTGGGAATTTTCCCAGAGATATAGTGAACCTTACCGTCTTTTTCAACCAACGGGAAACATACACTTCTTATTTGCACTCATGAACATTACCAACCATTCTCGTGACGATCCTTCCCTTTGTTACCATTAATTTTAGTCGTTCCATGTGGGTTTCCTACTGATTCACTCTTCTTAACACGATTGTGCATCCCAAAGAAGTGAATTTGTCGAGAAGAGACTCTTCACTGAACCGCTTGTATTGATTTTGTCAATGATACTAGGAACCGAGATGCCCTCTACTATGTATACTTAAGACAATTTACCTTGCATCAATTTCAGTCTGTCAAGCGAGAGGTTAAAATTATTTATCAATTGTTATTTCTACAAATTTGACTTTTATTTACGTTGAATTATCGTCTACCTAAGAGTTCCAGTAAAATTATCGAAATGCACTATTGACTAACGGTTTGCATCATGTCACGATATGAATAATACTCATCCTAAAACTTTAGTAGGATTCTTGACATATGGTAGTGATCATTGTGATGTCCAGTACTACTGGAGATATCTGTGTCACTAACGCTGTGTGAGCGTGTTTCTACGAATACTTTACCCTGGAAAATTCATTCCAGTGATTATTGTATGAACCAGTCGTTTTAATATCTATCCTTGGGACTTAATTACACACTTTAGTAGAATTAAACCTAATTAGCGAAACGTGTAATCGAGGATCTCAATGCATAATAACACCAGACACTCTCAGACCTTGACGACCTAATATAGATTAAGACTCTCTTTTCTTGACAATTCAGTAAATACTAATTTAGGTCTCGAGTGTGTTGTGAACTGGATTACTGGCCTGTACCACAAATGAATTCCACTTGTCAAGGTGTGATGAATTGAATCGAACATTCGATAAATAATGTTGACCAGAGATATTACAAAATGGTAAAGATTAGCCAACGATCATCTTTGAAGAATTTCCAAATTGCTTCCCTGCAACCAAGACAATGTTTCATCATAATAGTTTATCTAGTCTTGCACGAAGGTAAATGAGAGGACAACACAAGCTGTCAGCAATATCATAATCAGTGTATCAATTAGGATCTAAGAATAAAATTACTCACTCATCGATTCATTTTCATCTTACCCAAATGTAGAAACGGGAAGGGGCTCGCTGTAACCTCTCCTTCTTATAACTAGAATTCTCATACGATGTGTGAGAAGGTTCCATTTTCCAATGAGCTGAAATTGATGAAGAAAGTGACTGATGACAACGGCTCAGAAAAAACTTAATCACCCGAGAATATACATGATGAAAATGGCCATATGGATTAGACCTTCCGAATATTCCAACCGAAAACGTGGAGTGGATATGATTGTCAGATTATTTGAACATAACTCCTGTTCCATAACACTTGAGATATACACCTGTTTGCGAATGTTGATGGGCAGCAGTCAGTGATCGCATGGAAGAGTGTGCTTTTAGAAATTGAGTGGGTTGAAGAGAATCTAATTTGTCTTTCTCATTCACGATATCTACTTCGAGGAAACAGTCTACTGGAATTCCCCTTCTGCATCACCAGGAAAAATGCTTTAATTTGGCCATATATACAGAGTCAATATATGCATATAAGTATCACAAGATGACACCTTGCTACAAGACTGGCGATCACAAATGTGAACATCAGCTCCCTCTATCACACCTCACTGAATTCTGAGTTTATTAGACATCCAGTTATCACACACCAACATTCCACATTCATTAGATCCATAAATCTCATTAAAATGTGATTGAGTGTACTTCCTATATTCATACTCAAGTGAAATATCTCGAACATGATCAAAGTCAGACTAAAATCGTCACCTAACTATTCATATTTGAGCAAACTTAGTAACTAATCAAACTGAGAGCAAATGAGAGAGAAATAAGATATAAGCTGAAATTCACTTACTTGTTGTACCTCCGACCTTCGAATTTTCGTGCGTTCGAGAATATTCGCATGTATTTTCGCATATATATGTAAATATTTCAACTTCTGTGATGATTATTGACGCATTTTTACATACTGAAGGATCATAGTCCATTCTCACTCTAAATGTGATTCCACTTCACACAAAATGACTTTTGTCACATAATCGTCGTATTATGTATGTTGTTCTCATGTGGTTGTTTGTATGCACGTATGTATGTAACACAAGGTAACAGTAAGCACATTTAGTTATCTGAGAATTCAGTCAGGAGGTATATACTAATTACTTCGTTTGAAAAGGCTATTAACCGAAGAACGATGTTTATTTCAAATGAAAGAAGCAATTCGTGTCGAAATAATGGATATGCTTCCTGGTTCATTAAGAGGGTTCTCCACGTAATTGTGTTCTTTCAGTTCCATTATAGATGAGATTTTATTTTGATAAATCGCACAGTGTTTACAGTTATATGAACTGTAAACACTGTGCGATTTATCAAAATAAAATCTTATCTACAATGGAATTATGTGTTCTTTCAGCTTGGTCATTTAATTGTGAAGCCTTCATCAAATTTACAGGAAGCATTTTTGTGAGTTGCATCCAGAAGGTATTTAATGTATCTGATTTGATTGATTAAAATGAATAATAGGGTGAGAAGAACAGTAGCTATTCTCGAATTTCTCAAACACTCAAACGGCTCACATCGACTTTTAGTAATTATTTCACATCGAACGCGTATTATTGGTTAATAGTATATCTGGTTTATTGAATTATCCCGACAAAACTGTGAAAACAACTTTGAATCAAATTCCTGTGTCTTATGGACTTGTCATCACCCCCGACTAGTTGGACATCACTGTGTTATCTACCTGGCTCACTGCAATTCCGACAACATGATTCTCGTTATTGACAAATTGAAACGGATCAATGGCTCTAGAATTTTCAAACAATTAGCTGCTGATTCCATCTCATCATCGATTTCCCCTGTTTCCACGCAAGTACTCATTTTGATTTTATGCTCAAAAGCTTCGGGTAGTGTAGTATATTGACGCTGCGACACCAGCTGAGTAATCCGGCTCTGGCCATATCTCCTATTAAGACATTTTCGGAGCCCTTCAGTCATCTTCTGTATACAGCTTTCCGATATGAGAAATATATTGGATGAACGATCTTCAGGTTCCTTGAATAAAATGCTTCATATTTGAGGATTGGAAAGGCTTCCACGAGGCTGTTGGAGAACAGTATGTTTCCCACTGATTTGTTGTGATGCACACCCTGTTAGGACTGCGAATAACTACGTTTCAACGTTGTAGGTGCTCTAATCAGTCAGAGTTTTCAAAATTTTGGATGGAGGATTTCATCATGAGCCGACATCAGTTAGAGAACCATTGGAAAACCTGAGAGTACTGGACAGCTGTTTCGTCATAGTTTGGGACTGTCTAGCAGGACGCCCCCAGTGGGGTTCGAACCCAGGACCTTTTGGGTACAAGATGGGCTCGTAGACCATTGAGCCACTGGGACCCGATCCGATAGTTCATGAATTCAAGATTTCAGTGAAATGTACTTATTCGAACGAGGACACTTTGACTAATATTTAGATTTCTGATAAGTGTATCATTTTTCAGGACGCGTCACAACAAATATGAAACCATTAAATGTATGTTTATTCGAAGAAATTAGAGTCTCTACGCTTCTCGAAGTAGAAGATATCACTTTCATAATGTTACTGTATAAAACTCACAACTTATACGATACAATCTCACTTGAAAATTATCTTCCATATGAAATCGAAGATATGTTAAGAGATTGACAATTAAATTAAACCAAAAATGGAAACCTATCGTCGATTTCTTTCTCGATATCACACCGACAGCTAAATACATGTCAGTATATAATTCTTTTCAATGCTAATTACTTTGGTGTCACCTTCAAGAATCATCAAAGTATTATTCGTGTACCCGCCCATAAGAAAACTCCATTTCCAATCTCAGACCAATTGAATGAGTTCAAAACTATCCTTTAAACAATACTCAACCAGTTTATTGTGCTAATGAGGTATGGGTCGTTCGACGACCTTCTCAAAGTATGCACCCCCCCATCCATCTCAATTTTCTTTCACATATTTTTTTCAGAAATCGGCTCTTGGTTGGTTTCTGGCCAAAAATTCTTGTTGTTGTTGATTCTTTCTGGCCATCTGATCCTCAATATGGAGGCAGTGAATAGGGTAGCTGTTGGTAAACGTTTGCACTCATGTGTTGGAAATCCCTTTCGTCAAGTGCAGTGTAAGTTTCTAACCCATGTAGAAAAACTGAATGATTTCATATTTGTGTTGAAAATCTGAATGTTGTTGTGTTATGCTGGCTGAGTGCAGACAATTTCCAAACTGGTTTCAGGTTGATGAAGATGTATCTTACCTTTCCGATTATGGCTGGCTTTAACGTCTTCATCCCTACCGACTGCCTTCAGTTGAAATGATGATGCCTAGCTAGATAAGTGAAGGTGTAACAACAGAAGACAAGGGCCGGGCAACAGATCGTTTTATTATGAAAATCAACACGTATTTATACATATTTCACATACATTATTATAGCTTATGAGAGTAGACAAGCGCAGTTATCTGATTGGTTGTTTGTCAGAAGTTAGGCAGACAAACGCAGGCTTCTGATTGGTTGTTTCGGGATTCCTCGACAAATAGAGTTCTCTATCTGCGAATCATATTTTGCCACGTTAACTTTGCTGTGATTGGTTGTTGAATCAGCCTTGCTCATATTTTCTCACGGCCTGCTCTCACCACAAAGGTAGTAACCTCTTTCATATTTCCCTCGTTGATGGTGATCGCTACTGGTTTCTCTTGTTGTTATCGTTGGTAGTGATGGTGGTGGTGGTTGGTTATGCTCATCAATAATTCCGTCTTCTCTAATTTTGCCTGAATTTCTATCTTCCCTGCACTGCTTCTTCAACCAATTTATTGGTTTTCGCCTGTATGTCTTCTAGTTTTTGTGACATTAGGCATATATCACCCATCGCGAAATCCATATCTTCTACATTCTTCTTATTGGTTGATTGTACTACTGTCTTCTCACTCCTTCCCCATGAAGAATAGATCTGATATCATTGTCAAGTGTTGGTTTGCAGGGCTTCTACTGGCCACAGGATTGATCATATGCTGACATTATAGTTAGAGAACCAGTGAAAATCACCAATTGAGTACTGGACAGCTGTTTCATCCACCTTGTTTTCGACTCTCGATCAGTACTCACCCACTGTCAGGTTTCGAACCCATGACCTGATCTGATCCAGCGGTCAGAGCATGAATTCCAGCATCTGCCATTTTGAATCCCGGTGTGTACACATTGCAGCGGAACACAGCTGTCCAGTGCTCCCAGGCTTTTCAGTAGTTCTCTAACTGATGTCATCTCGTCACCCACCCTGTAGTCAATCAAATCTCCTCAGACTAACACTTGACTACTAATCCAATGTTTAATAGTGACTGGCCCTATATAGGAAGTTAGCTGGGGTTCCAGTGAGAAGTTGTAACCAATGGGGAGCATTAAGTCAGGCAAGAGCACAGTTATTCGCATTTGACATTGGCTGGCGGTCGCGTAAAATATATATATTTAGAATCGGCAGAAGTTGAGATTCATGAACCATTGAGTCGGGTTCCAGTGGCACTGATATCAGTATGAGACACCGAAAATATAAGAAAAGAATATTGTATTATTGTGTGTTATACAAAATCTCATCATTTCTAATTGTTAACTTAATAAAGTCTTACTGTAAAAATATTATAACCCATCCAAAGAGTAATTGGTTTCTGTGTTTCCAGATCATCCATTTTAGTGTTTAAAACACGACGACATCCTTCCTGTAGCTGTTAGCCACCAGAACATTGATGTTTGGTTGCTTTTGGGGATTTATGGGAATTAATTAAAACTCCCTGAGCTGGATGGTTAATTTGCGAAGCTTTCATCACCCTACTTACTAGGCAACATCTTCAGCGCATACTTCAATTTACTGAAGTGAGCTTTTAGATTTCTCCACGAGTTTATTAATCACCTCTCATTGTGGGTGACCTTGAAAGTGATTGGTTGTTTATGTGTGTTTTCACATCTTCTTGGTTACTTGTATTGGAACTGACTGTTTCTTTGACTTGAACTTTGACCCTTTGTGTGTGAAGGGTATCACAGAGATCAAAACCACATCAAAGTCATCCACCTGAGCTACAAATCTTCTCTATCATATCTCATTAAAACTCCATTACCCGGGACACATCTCCCCTCACCCAAAAAGGGTATCAACCACAAAAGCACAAACTTAGTCTGTGAGGTTTTAGGATACTGTCAAAGTGAATTAAGTGGAGTAGGATTCGGACCTGAGACCCATTAGTTAAAAAATCGCCTACTACTGAGCTACATATTTCACGCAAATGAAATCAGTCACCATCCGTCAGGTTAATTACAATCTGCTGACTACCAGGTTATCTCAGATAATCTCATTATCAATTAACGACCTGCTACTTTCCCTCTAATTCAGTATAAATCAAACTGACAAGAGAAGACCTAGTTGGGCAAATAGTATGTGTGTGTGTGTTGATAAGTGTATAGTAATATTCCATTAATTATTGAGGGAGTTTATTTAGATAAAGTTTCACAGTGTTATACAGTAAAATTTACTGATCATCTCATTTGGAGCACAATTTAATACTCCTCATAATCAAATCAACGTACTCACACAACCTTGTAACTTCGTTTATATAATTTCTGTGAATTTCTCCCGAAAGAAATCCGAAACGATAATCCAAACTATAGATTTAACCACACGTAGAGTGACGCGTAAAGTCCAAAATACAGGATATTCTGCAATACGGTACTTCATTACATAAGAATAGATATATAATATGAAAACCTCAAAATGTGAGGTGTCTGTGGCTAAATGCCGTCAAATGCACAACCACTGTGCAGTCAATAAGTAAAAACAGCAATGCTGTGTCAAGGTCGATCTACGTGTCGGTTCAAACGGCCCGCGAATGCCAAGCAAAGAATAAACAAATATGAACAAACAACTTTCAGTAGTAAAGCATACACTATAGGGTAAATGCAGCAAATAACGTTTAAGGAGAAGAAAAATAAGAACTATACATTAATAGAATGATAATAGAACAAGTAATTTAACTGCAGCTGTCATTGTTATAAATTGACATAAAAATCATACTACTTACTAATGACAAGTAGTATAATCTTGAACAAAGGAAAGATTTAGAATGAACAGGTAGGAAAGGAATTAACAATTTCATTATTTCCCATCGCTTGATTTGATTGGTAGTAGTGTGTTTAGAGCTGGCAGTTAGTCAAAATTGGTGGATAGTAATTTACGTCAATGTTTATGTCCTCAATATTGGTCGTGAGAAAAATGCGAACAAAGGCTTTGCGTAGGCGGATACGGTTAACATATAGATGATCTGACATTTAATGAAACAGCCACAAAAAGATGCGAGGTTAACTTTTCGCGAGAAACAACAAATCAGAGGACTGTGGCTTTCTCCCAACGATAATCTATAATAATGTACATGAAAATCTATAAATATGTGTTGATTTCCTTAATAAACGATCTGTTGCCTGTCCCTTGTCTTCTGTTGTTACAATAGTATTTTCCATATTTCCGGTATGAGTGATGAGTCATTCCTATTGCACGTGTTGGGTATAGACTCGATGAACAAGGATTCAGTAATCAACCTCTCTCGCTCTCCACCTACCTATATTACTTTTTAGAATTTTAACCCTCTCCCACTGACTTATTGTGTGGTTGTGTGTTAGTACATGCAACGCAACTGCTGAGGTTTTGTCTAAATGACTCATCTGTCTTCGTGGAGTCAATCGTTCTAACCTTAGCCACTAAATTCTTATGTTCTGATAATCTGACTATCCCTGACCTACTAGTTTGACCTATGTAGTTGACCTCAGTCACATTCATTGCAAGGTATTTTGTAAATTATGTTATTTTATCTAATTGGGTCAACCTACAGGGTCCTCTTACATACAGAACTTCTCCTACCTGAATGTGATTGTATGTTGAAATTCATCCTTGATTCCTGTTTTATTAGGAATCCTACATAGGATCTCAGATGTCCCTTCCTTATATATTAAAACCACTGTAGATGCTTTTGACCTTTTCTGATATTCCTAGTTAGTTCTCATGATGCCTATGGCATAGATGGCACTGAATTTGAAACCAAGTCAAGCATTAAATACCTTAGATTAGTTCTTTCCTCTGACCTTTCATGGTCATCCAACATCTTATCAATCTCTAAGAAAATGTTTCGCCCTACCTTCTGCATTAAGAAGTTAAGACAATCAGTTATCAACGAAAATTTACTTCAACAGTTTGGAAATTCCTGTATTTTACCTATTGTACTCTATTGCTCTCCATTAATCTTTCCTGGGTTTCTCAAAAACGACTGTATCATATTACGAAGGGTACTAAATGCTGTCAGTAGGGCTTGTGGTATGCCACAATATGCATGAGCTCTCCAATATTACAGTCGAGTGACATATAAATTCCTGTACAAAATGGGCAGACACCGCACTGTCAGACCCCCTGCACCCCATTTATTCACACCTGTCCCTTTGCATCTCATCAGGTAGGACGAAAAGTCAATATAAGAAGTTATATGCTCGAACCAATAAGTATAAAAATTATACAGTACCGTTTTAGCCCGTATTTTATGTGATGAAGACACTGTTAGACGTGAAACATGTAAGAAGTTACTATGTAATTAGCTAAGTGAATCAACCCTTTCATCGTTCATCTTTCTGTAATTTTATGGTGTCACTCTTTCTATCGTTTAATTATATATAACTTAGCTACTTTATTTTAGTTGTTATTACTTTTATTACTACAATTTCATACTTTATGCATATTTTTCTCCTTATCGCATACTGTAATTTGCTACATAGCTGCCATAACAACGTTTTGTTATTATTATTATTGTGTAATGTTTATTTTTTTGTCGTTTTGAGTAAATTAGATGAATATTGTACTGAATGCTGAAAATTCCTTGCTGTATCATTAGTACTGTATTTGGAATAAAGCAAAAATTATTATTATTGATGAATTTTATACGATAGTAATTTGACACCAACGCCTCTTCTATCTGTTTCATTTCACCGTTTAGGTTTTCAGTTGTACTACTTAGTGCTGGTTGCTCGGTTTGTTAGACACTTAACTAAACCTGCCTTCCCAGACAGTTAACGGATGAGATCAATTAAAGTTCAAATTTCTAGTGAAATTCGATGGCTTTTTATAAATGCTGGTATGCTGTTAACCTTCTTCTATTCATTTTAGTTTATAATCGAAAATAACTAATTCTAAAAAAATTAGTTCCCTTTATGAATTTAGATAAAGCAATAAGAAGACATAATTTGTCTGAATCGTGTAGGTAATGTATTTGCGCAACACATTTCGAACAATCTGATCACACTTCACGGACTTGTCATAGGAATGTGTATATATGAAATTATTAAAGAGGTAAGAGGTGAGAAAATAGACCACTTAGGTCAAGTTAAAAGGACATACTCAAGGTCAAAATAACAATGAAGACCACCAAATCAAATAGCAGAGGTGATAGTACATCTGCTATGGTATCAAAATAAAATTTACCAAAGAAGGTTTAGTGTGAGGACGAATGTAAAGCCATTATATCTATATAAGCTCTTCGAATATGCAAAAAATGACGTCACATCCCACTGTATTCACCAATTTGGATGTACGTGTGGACACATATGCAAAGGGAGGACTTATCGATCTCTGAAAGTAAGGGCTTCAAAGCATATTCCTAAATGGCTCCAGAAACAAATGGAATCTTCAGAACCTATTAACGGTGAGAACAGGAGACCTAACTCTTCTATTGCGAAACATATTACAGGGGAGACAGGACATAAAATTGATGTTAACACATCTTTAAAACCTATCTATAAAACGTGTTTGGGGCGTATCCTAAAATTTGTGGAAGCCTTAGCTGGCAATTAGAAAGTTCAAACCGCCTTTATGCGTTCAATGCAGTAATTCGTCCTCACATTAAACCTTCTTTGGTAAATTTTATTTTGATACCATAGCAGATGTACTATCACCTCTGCTATTTGATTTAGTGGTCTTCATTGTTATTTTGACCTTGAGTATGTCCTTTTAACTTGACCTAAGTGGTCTATTTTCTCACCTCTTACCTCTTTAATAATTTCATATATACACATTCCTATGACAAGTCCGTGAAGTGTGATCAGATTGTTCTAAATGTGTTGCGCAAATACATTACCCACACGATTCAGACAAATTATGTCTTCTTATTGCTATAACTAGTTCTCCTTGTTCATTCCCTGATTCACTATACTAGTGAGTTTGTATGTGTAAAGAATCTAGAGATATGTTCCAATTTTAACACTATGCAAGTGTCATCAACATATCTACACCATATTTTTGGAATAGTATTAGTATTAAGAGCAATATTTTCCCAGCCATCCATAAAGATATCTGCCATGCAAGGGGATATTGGTGATTTCGTTGCTATACCTTCTGTTTGTCTACATGTATTTCCCCTAGAATTTAAAGATAGTAGATGTGTGGCATAATTGAATTCCTAAAATAATTACCTCAAAGGAAAATTTCTCACAAATTTCCTCCATGATTGAATGATACTCTACCACAGTGCATCGGTGGCGCAGTGGTTAGGACGCTCGCTGACCATACACATGGTCCGGGGTTCGATCCCCAGCCACAAGACGCACTCCTTTACCTCACTCGCTAAGCCAGAAAAAATTCTGGTAAAGAGGACAGGTTGGGCATGAGGCTAGCAACCTCATCCTGTAAAATTAAACACTGCTACAGAAACTTCAAGCCACTAGCTTGAAGCCCTATGTTCCACTGGGAACGTGAAGGAAATATATATATATATATATATAGTGCCCAAGTTCTATTCTGATATCAGCACAACGTTCATTTGCACAGCAACTGGCCATTGCCCAACTAATAATAAATAACCTGATTACCAGCTGGTTTTTGGTTGGTAAGCTGACAGACCTCCAGGAATCAGTAATTATGAAGCCACCGCTATTTGGAATCATGTCGCCAGCCTGATTGTCTCACCAATTAGTCTTACAATCTAAATCAAAAGAATTATAAGAATTATCCGACTGTCATATTTTAAAATAATAATATAAAATGTCTTCACTTCTTCATTTACAAATAACGTGAACATGTTTCCTTGTATAAAAAAGTGTGGAAAAAAAGTAATCTTTGACAATTTATCCTAAGTTTTACAAAATGAAATCTAATGAAATTGACACACGCACACACACAGTTAGACAAATGTACACAGACAGACAGGCCAATAGTTAGATAAGCAGATAGACAGACAAACAAAGGGGGATGAATACAAAAACCAGAGATAGGGTAGTTGGATAGACAGCAACGGACAGATAGACGGATAAATAAATAGATAGATAGACAGACAGACAAGGCGAAATGGACACAGACATATACATAGACACGCACAGACACACAAGCACATAGACACTTTGGTGATGCAGACATCAAAAATGGACGAGAATAAAACGAAGACGGGCGACAATGGCTGGGAGGCAGATTTACAGAAAAACAGCAAAATTTTTTTACTGAAGATTTCGTCTCAATCCAACGGTATTTTTTTGTGAAACACTGAAAACCAGGATGTATGAGACAGCTGTTTCGCCCTGGTTTCAGACTCATCAGCAGAAGGGCTCACCAATGATCACATCATAAGATCGAAACCAAGAGAAAGCAGCTATCCACTTCTCTCTGATTTTCAATGTTTCTCTAAATCTGATTGGCTGTTGACGAAATCTACAATGAAATTATTTCCATAATCTTAGAAAACTCATAGTATCAAAAAGAAGTTCACTCATATATATTCAGAGGAGATAGAAAGATTAAAAATAAATGCATTACACTGCATAATAACAAGTATAAAATAGGAAAGATTAGAAAAGAGTTACATTTATGGTTCTGTGATCAATAAAGTACATTAGAGACATTCAAAAATATACAGAATTTTAAGTATTTTCATTTAGTGACTGTGGTTATGATGGAAGGGTTCAAATTGGGGTAGGGAGTGACAATAACTCACATACTATTCAGAAATTCTCACCTCGGTGTGTATTATGGAATGTTTTATCTGAAGAAAGTATAATAAAGAGGAAAAAAGGATAGACGAGTGAGTAAGTGAGTGAGTGAGTGAGGAGTTCACAGAGTTTAGGAACTTCCGAAGACATTCACCTCAGTTAATTATACACTATTCTAAGTATATCTTTGTCTATTTGTCGAAGAAGACGACGATGATATTGACAATGGAATCTGTGAAAGTCGTGGAAACACAGTAAAACTTTTACGTTTATGAAATAATGATTTGCCGCCTTCTTCATGCCCCGACTTACTATTTGTTGTTGTTGTTGTCATTGCTGTGATTGTAGGTGTTGTCACCTTCAGATCATTGCCATCCCGATCCATTCTATTCCTAGTCACTGTTGATCCAATACAAACACTTCTAGCTCTTTCACGTGCTCGTCGTTTCCGCATCACTTCGATGGCAACCATTCGACTGATATGCGCAAAATCATCCAAGTCATCGGATATTTCATTATCCTCACTAGTTGTCAATGAAGCGAATATATCCGAGGATTGTTTCTTATCAAAATGTCGGCGTTTCTCTTCACTACTAGGATGACTGATGTGCTGTTGATGTTGTTGTCGTTTACTGGTAACTTTATCATGAAAACTTAAACGACGTTTCACCAGCTTCTCATCAGTATCATGTTTCTCTGATGGTTTCGGTTTATGCACAAGTAAATTAATGCCTTGACTAATACGTCTCCCGGTGGGTTTTTTGTAAATTGATGATAGTTTACGAGGTTTTTTCTCTTTAAGCGAAGCATGTGTCTCTGATTTATCGATTGTTAGTGTTTTCGTCACTCGATTTGTGTAAGGTGAAATCACTTGATGAATTGTCGCCTGTGATTCTTGTTTATACTGTTCATTGTGTTGATGTTTTAAATGAAGATGAGGGTGTGACGTTAAACCGATGGATGCATTACAATTCATCACAACTTCTCTATTCACCTTATCATCAGTAGTCTTACGAATCTGTTTCCCATTATGATCATTATCGATGATAAAACACTCAGTTTGATTTAAATTTTCATCAATTATCGAGCTTTCTTCATCAACAAAAGGGATAGATGCAGCATAGGAATCAGACAGTTTAATTTGTAGTGGATTCTGATCTGTTTTTATCAAGCTGTCTTTATCAGTGATATTAATTTTAAATGAGCAGTCCTCATAGCGGTTATTAATATCAATATCATCATCATCAATATTATCGTCATTATTTTGTGTAATATTTGTGCGTAAAAGACAAATTTTATTGGGTTGATCTTTAGATTCATTGGTTTGTGTATGAACATTCACTTTAATAATTTCTGGTAATATATTTTTAGTAGTAGTACTATTACTACTAATATTTACATTATAAGTAGTTTGCTGAGTAGTATAAGGTGGAATTTCAAATGCTGACAAACTAATTGATATTGATTCATTTGACTGTTCATTAACTTTATCCAATTCTGAATGACTTATGCCTTTCACCGGCATAGATGGCATTGGAATTGGTATAGTGATGTTGAGGAGACCTTCACATTCACTGGACATTTCATGATTGTAATTATTATTATTATTGTTATTATAGGAATCAGTATCTGGTAAAGGCTTCAGGAGATTCGATGTAAGCTGTCTTGAATTCATTGGATATTGATCAGTGTTGCTATTTGGAGTGGTTAGAAGATTTGTACTGATGAAATCATGAGATATAGATGGTACTTGTAATTCATAGTGGGAGTGTTGTTGCTGCTGTTGATGGGGCTGGTGTTGAGGTTGATGAGAGGATTGTACTTCCCCATCTTCTCCATCATTTCTTGAAGCATGACTAGCAGTGTTTAAAAAACTACTCCTTGGTGTTGGCAGTACACCAGACGAAGGGAATAGACTAGTCTGTTTTGTCGAAGGATCTAAATAACTCATTGTACCGAATGAAAAACCACTAAGACGTGATGAAGTTCTTCGACGAAATTTTAGATATGCTGATGACGATGAAGATGATGGTGCTTTTGTTGTTGTTGGGGCAGTCTCTTTATTCAACTTCCCGTATTTACCTGTTGATGAATTTGTATCAGTTGGTTTTTCATGATGTTGTCCTATTCCAGTGAGTAGATTCCCACCGGCTAACGGACCATTGGAACTTTTTGAACCACATGGACGACTACTATTTGAATTTGAACCTCTAGAGCTATTTCTTGTCTGTTTAATTAGATCAGCTATCACTGCATCGTTGAGAATACGACGCTCGGTGTATTCATTAATAGTTCTAGTTAATGGTTCAATTAAACAACTTTCATTATCATGATATCGAGTGATGTGACGATAGTGATCACGTCGTTTCAACCACTTCAGCGACAACTGGCATGTACATATTGCTCCACAACAATAACATATATAAACATTTAGTTTAGGTTCATTTTTATTCATTTCATTCTCACCACCATCATCATCATCATCGCCTGCTTTATGATTCGCATTATTTCCAAAGTTGTGACCAATATTCCCAACGTCATTATCCCCAACTACATCTTCTCCCCTACCTCGACCATCAGCATCACCACCAACGGCACCTGCACAACAAACAGCCCCAGCACCATCACTCCTGCCTCCATCACCGTCAGCATCACTGTGATATTGATTTATCTGTCTTTTAATACTCTCCATTGTAAACTTCTTCGTAAAGCACAGACTATATTTATCTTTTAAATGTTTTATATTACGTAACATGTTATGCTTAGTCAGCTTATATTGTTTCAATTTTTGTAATGTCTTTTTTGTCATTGTATATATGAACTTTTTAAACCAACCATATAACCATGGATTAATACATGCTGATGTCATAGCTAATAGTTTTAAACTCAAGTCTAATAATTTGATATTACCACCCATTGGATGTAAAGTATAATAATTTCGATAATTTTTATATATCTGATGTGAATGACTGCTACTCATCAGAGTAGAAGTGTTATCAACAGTAGCAGCAAGAGTAGAAGGAGAATTCGTCATATTCGTATTGATATGGTTGCTTGTTGCATGAATTTGATTTGTCTTGTTCAATGTTAAATAGAATTTGTTTAAATGCATCATTTTCTCAGCAACGCTATCATGTGTTGTTGTTGTTGTTGTCATATAATTCAAATTTGGCCCTGATTCATAATTATTATTATTATTTAAATTTAGTGCATTTTTTTGTATTTCATAAGCATGTATTTCTAACCATAGTGAAAAACATGTCCATGGTGTCCAACAGACAGCAAAACAGATGACAATACGTATTAATATTTTATTTGTTCTACGCTTACGTTCCACCGATCCTTTACGAAATCTTCTTTCATGTAAGCGATAATAAATATGCCCGTATAAACATGCGGTCAATATTAAGGGAATTAAAAAGTGTATAAAAAAGACAAGAATTGAATACAGCAGTCTTGATTCTGGATTTGGCCAATTTTCAACACAATATGAATGTCGATTATTATGATTAGTTGTAGTAGTAGTAGTACTATGCTGTATAGACTGATACATGTACAACTGACTTTCAAAGATTATATCAAATCCAGGTGAATTGATAGCATTACTGACCATATTGAATAATGCTATTGGTATAGCATTGATAATACTAATGATTACAGTGAGACAAATTAAAATAATCGCCAGTCGAACAGACATTCTTGGTCTCAATGGATAGATAATTATCTGATATCGATCACAGGCAATGAGTAGAATTGTTAAGCAGGATATATGCATTGGTAAACCAAAACAGGCAAAAATAAATTTACACAATATATCATTTCGTACTAATAAAGTTTCTTTTAATTCATAATAGGCTTGCAATGGCATGTTGAAACTACACAATAGGATATCAGAGATAGCCAAAACTAGAACAAATATATTCGTAATACTGTTTAAAGCACGTCGACGCATAAACAGTAGTATATATGCAACAATTAAATTTGATGTAATTCCCATAAATGCAAGAATCCCATAGATAACAGCTAAGATTAACTTAATCCATAGAATACGATGTGTACCGAATTCTGGACGGCCATAATTTACATGCAAAGCTATCGCTTCATGTTCACTATATTTATTGATTTTGTCACTTTTATTTAGATTACTTTTATTATTTCTACTTTCATAATTATAGTTTTTATCATTAGTAGCATTCACATTATCATGTTGAACATTGAACAGGTGTTTTAATGTATCATCATGTGTTAAATTGTGTTTAGCATAGTTTTGAATTAAATGTTCAATAATTGACCAATTATTTGAATTATACTTATTTGTATACTTTGTTACTTTAGTGAAATGATACATTTCTAGTGAACAACAGATTAGTATAGTGATAATGATTAAAAAGGAATACTTGTATTCATTTAAATTCATTTCGTTGTAGCGTTATATTTTGTATATTCGTTCAAATTTCTGTAAGGAAAATGAACAAATAGAAAGAGGAGAAAGGTTAGTTAGTTAGTTAGTTAGCTAAGAAAGAAATAATCGAATAAAATGGTAAGGATAAAACCTGGTGGAATATAAAAGATAATTTCACGGAACACTAGCAGGCAGCAGGTAAAAGTGACCTCAGAACATTATATCCGATAAACAGGTCTCAATTCCGGAAGAAATCAACGCAGGTGAAACCTAAAAAGATGGTTGAGGTAACCTGATTACCAAGGAGGAGAAACAAAAAGTAAAAAACAACAACAGTGGGCTGTTCACTTTAGGGAACTCTTGAGTTGACCATCACCTGTCACTCGCTGAGAAATGCCATCAACAACAACAACAGCATTCACAAACTGCCTGCCAGTGGATACCAATCTTCCAACGAAAGCAGAATTCTTGAATGATGATAATAATAGGAATAAAACTTATTCACTGCAGTAGTGTATAATTTCATTATGGGTAAAATTTATTTCGATAAGGTCTCACAGTGTTATCCAGTAATACATACTAATGACGAGGTGTCGAGCACAATTTACTGCCACGCATAATCATATCAAGCCACTACTCACACAGCTTTTTAACTTCGCTTATATTATTCCATTATTTTTCACCGCTTGATTTGATTGGTAGTAGTGTTCTCCATATTTCCGATATGAGTGATGAGTCATTCCTCTTCCATGTTCAAGTGTTGGTTTGTAGGGATTTGATTGGTTACGGGATTTTCATCATGATCTGACATTAGTTAGAGAAACATTGGAAAACCTGGGAGTACTGAACAGCTGTTTCGTACTAGTTTGGGACTCTTCATCAGTACGCACTCACAACCAGGGGTTCGAACCCAGGACCTTCTGGTTACAGGGCGAGCTCGTATACCATTAAGCCACTGGGACCCGATCCAATGGCCCAAGAATTCTAACTTCTGCCAATTCACGACATTGGCTGGGGTTAAGAAACAAATAATCGAATAAAATGGCAAGGTTAAAATCTGGTGAAGGGTAAAAGATAATTTTACGGCACACTGTCATACCGCAGGTAAAAGAGACCTCAGAACATTATATTCAATAAACAGGTCTCTATCCCGGAAGAAATCAACTCAGGTGAAACCTGCTAAATTCTTATGTTCTAACAGTCTAACTACCCTTGACCTACTAGTCTTACCTTTGTATTTAACCTCATTCACAGTTATTCCAAGGTATTTTGTAAGTTAGATTACTTTATCTAATTGGGTAAACCTACAGGGTCCTTTAACCTACAGAGGATGTCCGTGAGTGAGTTTGTAGGTTTAAATGATACTCTAATTCCTGCTAAGGTAACACTGGTTGATGCCGAGAAGATAAGCAATTTCGAAGACAACTTAGCAATTGCAATGAATGCATTAACACACAAACCACACAATAGGGTGGGTGAGATAGGGTTAAAATTCTAAGAAGTAATCTAAGTAGATGGAGGGCAAGAGAGAGGTTGATTACTGAATCCTGGTTCATCGAGTCTACGCTCAACACGCGCAATAGGAACGACTCATCAATCAAACAGGAAATATGGAAAATACTACTATCAATCAAGTCAGGCTATGGAAAATAATGGAATTATATAAATTAAGTTGGAAAGTTATGTGAGTATTGGCTTGATATGATTATGAGTGGCAATAAATTGTGTTCGAAACATGGTCATCAGTAAATATTACTGTATAACACTGTGAGACATTATCAGAATAATTTTTACCCATAATGGAATGATAATAGTTAGGTTCATGCACGTGTCGATACGATGAATAACGAAGGTAGTAGTTATATGTGTATATGTAGACAATTCATCAAATAAATAAATAAATTAGGTCAAGTCCTAAAAGTTACATAACACTAAAGGTGAAATAGACAGATAATCAGAGTTTAATTAAATATCATAAAAGCACAAGGGAAATGAAAAATAAGAAAGGGTGGAAGAGTTTTAAAAATAAGCTTCAACTAGGCCAAAGGAGAGGCAAAGTTAGAAAAAATTTATTTTGTATGCAACGACACGTGGTTTGTTTTCTCAAATTAATTAAGCCTACAGCTTCAAAAATGTGTGAAGAGCGGATTCGAATTCTTTTCGAAAGTTTTGTTGGAATGTGTGTGTGACAGATAACTTTGAAGGGGATTCTTCTTTCCACTTGGTTAGACAGCTTTCATCAATCAAATGAGCCAAAAAGGAACTTCTTGCAGAATTTACTTGGCCTTGCTTAACATTAACGATATTATCATTATTTTTGCTATCATTATAACCATCGTTGTTACTGACGATCAGAACATTTAACATATATTACTGTTTGTGTACATCAGTGATTCAATGGTATAACGCTCGCCTACCACGCCTCACGTGGTTCGGTATTCTATCATCGGCCGATTCACTCCTTAATCTCGATGAGCCGGTAAAGAGGGAAGGTTGAGAGTGAGGCTGCCAACTCTACTACGTAAAAAAGAAAACACAACTACCTCTTAAACTTCAAATCTCAAGCTTGAAGCCTTATGTTCCAATGGGAACGCAAAGACATAAAATAAATAATAATGTAATTATTATTTAACCCATACATTCGCCGTCATTGGTTAAATTTTTTACATATAAACCTATTTGCACTAAAGCAAAGCCTGAGGAACGGACGAGGATGTTAAATCGAGAATCGGGAAGGCGAGAAACACACTAATCAACCTGAAACCAATCTGGAAATCTTCGTCACTCAGCATCAACAAAAAAATTTGGTCGGATTTTCAATACAAACATCAAATCAGTCAGTTCCTCTATACGGATCAGAAACTTGGTGGGCGAGTCACAAAGAATATTTCCAACAAGTTGCAGACCTTTATCAACAACTGTCTTCTCTCTATACTGAAGATCAATCAGATGGCCGGAAAGAATCACCAACAAGCAGCCATGTGAACAAACAAAACAAGAGCCAATCGCCCAACAAATATGCAGGAGAGAGTGAAGATGGATTGGACACTCGCTGAAGAGGCCACTGGGTGACATCACGCGTCAGGTGATCGAGTGGAACCCAAAAGGGAAGCGGCGAGTGGGACGTCAGTGCAAGGGTGATATCAGAAAACAGAAGAAAGCCCTATGTTCCAATTGGAACCCAAAGAAATAATAATGCAAATGGTAAATAATGTCCCTGATGTGCCTTATAGTAGGCTACAATAAACAAAGAGGATGAATGTGCTTCTTTTGCATACAGAGGTCAGGTTAATTCTTACTAATCTCTATAGCTCCAGCCATAGCCAGGAGATGTAATCGTGCTCCTTTAGGTAGATTCTTTCGTACTCGATGTACAACCGTAATGACCCATCCATTTTGATTGGTGTTCACTATCCACTAGATGAAATAAAATGACACTATTTATTGATATGCTTACATTGTTTTCGCTACACCTGACATCTATCAGCCCTTGAAATAACATTCAATCTTTGGCATATTTTGGCGTTTCTTTGAATGTAATTCATGTTAATCACATTTATATATATTATGTCAATTAATTATATATTATTAATTATAATATATATTATATATTCGTGTTAATCATATTACATTATATTATACATTATTATAATATATGATACATATTATATATCACACCAGTAAATATAACTCATTCCCTCTCCTCTACGCCCCGATGAATCTTAGATTCTGTTAACTATGACTACATAAGTATGTCACCCAGTCGCTTATTCACATTTCTAATTGGTTGAACATTTTATATGCCTTCAGTTGACAATAATTAATAACGAACTATCATTTCACCGGGTACATGAACTTCAATACAGTTTCTGATATAATTCTCAATTGCTTTTAATATCTGTTCACATTCTAATATTTATGGCTTTATAACGTCACTTATTGAAAACAGTTGTTAGCTCGAAACCTGATAACACTATGAGGGTGTTTTAATTAGCCATTTTTTAATAATTGATGTTCACATTAACTGGAATAGCTTTCCATTCACAGAATACCACTGATGCAATGAATGTTCATCCAAAGTACTGTGGAAGTTTTGATTACGAAAGGATCTTAACCAACAGCCTTTCAATTTCCAAAACTGAATCTCTGCTATCTATTAGCTACAGAGCATAGCTGTTAACTGGGTACCCATTTCATTGGATCATGCTCATATCATGAATCCGTATAAGTTAGAATTCATGAACTGGCTATTGAGCGTCAGCTGCCAGTGACTGAATGGTCTGAGTGCTTGCCATGTAGCTGGAAGGTTATAGGTTCAAACCCTGTCAGTGGAATGTTTACCTACTGAGGATGAGTTCCAAACTACACTGACGAAACAACTGTCCATTATGTGAGTGTCGGTTTTTCAATGCTTCTCTACTTGACATTTAACTGTGATCAAGTTTGAAACGATGTCCCAGAAAGTTTCACGACCATTTATAAACGTCTAACTCCTTACCTTCTCGTTTGATATAAATAGGGTTCCTATGAGAAGAAGACCTATCTAGCAGCTAGTGTGGTTGTGTACCGGAAATATGGCGATTATGCTTGGTGACTTTGTTAAATTACTGAAGACCCAGTTAGCATATTAGGTCTGATACCTCGGTTGATCAGTAGGACAGTTAAGTAATCCACTGGTTCGAATTTCATATTTTCATTTTATCACCCAACTATCATCATTCATTACACAATTCAATTCAATAACACCGCCTAATCTAAATGTTTACTTCTGATTGGATAGTTTTTATCGATTTGTTGTCTTTAAGCGGCAATTTTAAATATCACCTCGGTTTATGCATTTTAATTTTTTTACTAATACCGTCATTCATAAATCGGCCAATTAAATAAAAGGAACCTAATAATGGAAGGGATATCAAAAAGACGTACACAGATAGGAACAGACAAACAGGTACACATTTATGTCTCATTTTAGTCCATGGAAAAAACTTTAACTCTGTGAGCACGTGACGGATTATTTTATCAAGACTTGTCCGGTAAAAATTCAAAATGCGTCT